TATATATATGTTTCTCTCTTATTTAGAAACCTGAGAAGGGGCTTTCTTACAACAGGCTGTCTTTAGTGTTATCTCTGAACAACCAACTTACTCTCTTCCACATATGAGGTTTTGAATTACTTCTAGGAGGTATATTTCTGCTGAAGAAAATAAGATAGTTGAATGGTGTATGTATTTAATAATAAATTAAAATAGTACTAATAGTTTCAGAGTTATTGGCCAAGATCCATTTGGCCACTCTGAGCTCAAGTCACCAATGTCAGTAATTCCACTTCGGGCATAAACAATGTAGGCTTTGGACAGAGGCGCCTTGGTTACAGGAAACATTTTCCTAGGATATAACATTCTCAAGCCTTTTTATGTTCTCCCTTCACCCTAATAAATATCCCAGTGAAGCTTACCTGCCTTAGGAATCTGTACAAAAGGCGATTTCTCCAGCTCTTTTTTAAACAAAGGAAAACTTCCCAATGTTAACATGTAGCAAAAAGAGAAAAACAGCCTGTTCAATCCATCTTCCTGGTTGTTGCTACCTAGCAGCTTATGACACACAGATAGAGGGAGGTCTGACGATGTGAATGAGACAGCCCGAGAGCTAGTCCATTCCCGTGGAAACCACGTGTCCCTCGGTGCAGGCAGCTCTTCCTACTTTGCTGTGCGATTTCTTTTGTGTGACTTTGAGAGGGGCTTGTGAATGATTTCTAAATGTGTGCCTTGCTGAGGCTAGCTGCCCAGGGAGGGAGTGACCCAGCTGAGGGGGGTACAGAGGAAGCCAGTGCCGGCAATGGCTCAACATGCAGTTTTTGAAGTCAGCAAAGCAGAAATCAAATTATTATCATGTTATGCCGGTGGAAGCTCAAGGAGAAGGGTCTCTACACCAGCTTAATTATTATGAGAGATGCAGGCAAGTTTCGGAACAGCAGTGAGTCTAATGTGTGGACCCCGAAGACAAATGTAAGTCTCATATTCTCATACTATATTTTATTGCTGTGTAATTTTCTTTCTGCCTTGAAATCATGCTTGGCCAAAATGTAATCATTTCACAGTGAGAATTTCTAGTGTGGAAAGTTGTTAATCTTTGCTTAAGACTTTTTTTTTTTATTAACTAAGAAACATAATACAAGCTGAAATTCCCAACAGCAGCTGTAGCAATTCAGCCAAAGACTGACTGAGAACTATAACCCAAAGTACATCCAATTACTATGGGATTAACACTGGATGTATTTTTAATTGACTTTCTTAATGTAGAAGGCATACAGCCCCACTGTTTTGGATTGCATGCTATTTTAATACTGCTGTGGCTAACCTAGTGTGATCAGCATAACCAACAGACTGAGATAAAGCTAAACAAGATTCCTAGTAGTTACAAAACTTTTCCTTTTTGGCCAGGATCACATTTTTCTCCTCGAATGCTCAAAACTCTGCACCCTCTATGCTAAAAGTTCATTCTGCTTTTTGACCTTGCTTTGGAAAAAAAAAAATGAAACCTAAGAGAGGACTCTACTAAAATTGTGAAGGAAAGAAATATAAAGAGCCACTGCAGTTCTTTAACTACTATTATAATAATGAGAGAAAAAAGCCAACTGAAGGAGCCCAGCAGGTACACCAGCTTCAGTGTGACAGAGTGTGGGGACATAAAGATGGATGGTGAGCAGAACCTATAACTTGTTAGTTTTTCGACACTTCATCTGCTACAAATTCTGGCTTAGAAATGGATGTTCTTTGTGAAGAAAACATTTCTTTGAGTTCAAGTACGAACTCCTTAATGCAAGTAAATGATGACACAAGGCTCTACAATAACGACTTTAACTCCAGAGAAGCTAACACTTCGGATGCATTTAACTGGACAGTGGACTCAGAAAATAGAACCAACCTTTCCTGTGAGGGCTGTCTCTCACCACCATGCTTCTCCTTACTTCATCTCCAGGAAAAAAACTGGTCTGCTTTGTTGACAGCTGTAGTGATTATTCTAACCATTGCTGGAAACATACTCGTCATCATGGCAGTGTCTCTAGAGAAAAAGCTGCAGAACGCCACCAACTATTTCCTGATGTCACTTGCCATAGCTGATATGCTGCTGGGTTTCCTTGTCATGCCCGTGTCCATGCTAACCATCCTATATGGTGAGTGGTGTTAGTTTCCCAAATATACCCACTAGTAATAAAGAGCATGTGCATGTCATTTGCAGATGAGCGGGGGCTCAGGGGACAAAGACAAAGCTTTGTTAATAGACAAGTGTCTACCATGTTACACTAGTTACTTAAACTTTACTCTTAAAATGGGGTTTCACATAAAAAAACAGGCAACCTATTATCTGTGATCATTAGAGAATTTTGTGCTTTGAAACATGTACATTTTACGTAGAAATGATTATAAATGCCCTCAATACGGTCATAAAGCAATAACTTATCTTGATTTTCACTCCATATTCCCAAATATTCCAGCCTTCAGGACAGAACAGTTTTCTTTTTGTTATACAGTTTTCAGCACTTCTAATAGAATGGGAAAACCTTCCCAATTACTTTAGAACGTTTGCTGAGAAAACTTTAGCGGTGTGGTGCGTTAAATGTTAAAATATGCAGTCCCCATTAGAATAAGCGAATTACTCCAGTTTTAATTGTTCCCTGCCCAGAGAAGCTAATTGGGAAGTGTGACTTTGAATTACACCCTCAATTCTTTAGAAATGCACATGCGGAAATTCCTCCAGTCTGGTGTAGAGGAGGGTGGAAAACAAATGGGAAGAGATTAATCATGCTTTCTTCTCAGCAGAGTTTTGAAAGAGTCAAATCTCTCAGCAAGTCAGCAAACACTGGGGCGACTTCAGCTGGGAGCAGAATGTGATATTCTTTCCAAATTATGAGTAATACACCCAGATTTGTCCTTTTAAAGAAAGAGAGAGAATATCGAGACTGCTGACACAGGCACATCAGCAGTCACCCAGAACTAGTAACAGGTTATGAGCGCTGTCTTTAAAAGGGGATTTTCTGGCCAAGTCTTAGGGGCTAAAAAATAAATAAATAAATACCAACCGAACCCTGAGAATTGGGAAGAGGAAAGATGAGAAATGCAGAGCAGGCGCCGATTTGCTGCACAGGGTCAGTAATGCTCTTTGCAAAACCAGTCCCCCCGCCCCCCGCCCCTTCCTCGCTCAACTTCTCAAATGTCACACCCAGATGATTTCATTAAATTGCCTGTCATTTCCCAGACTTTCTGGAGAGGTCTTCGCTTCCTAAAACCCCACCCTGCTCAAAGGCAAACTCCAGGAGTCGGGGATGACGCTCACAAGGCCTGTCAGGGAACATAAACCGCGGAGCAAGGGTGGGGATGACCCCAGGCGGCAGGTGCCGGGCAGGCACCAGCTAGCTGGGTTAGAAAGCAGGGACGCGCCCCCTGGCGGCAGCCTCTCCGCGCACAGCCGGTCCCTGCTCCCCAGCTGAATCCCTCCCCGGACTGGCGAGGCAATACTCCTTCCTTATCCCCACTGCGGAAACCCAGACAAAGGCCTGTGGCTGCCTCCTTACAGAGAAAACTCCTCTAAGAGCCAACATCAGTTCCGACCAGGCAGAGCATGGCTTCTTACCCGCCTCCGTCCCCCGGGGCACAGCTGAAGAAAGTCTCTAGTTTTAGCTCAAGCTCTTTGCAAATAATCAGAGTGAAAGGCACTAAGTTAAGCTTCTATCCTGCAACCTTTATTTACTCGTGGTGGCATTTTAGTAGAGTTTGTTTGCTAACGGAGAGTTCGTTCAGTTTTGTGAAGAAAAAGGATTATTGTGAAGAAAAGGCGGTCTTTATAATTTTGCTTCTCACGTGCACACAGATCTAACACCATTGCTCAGACCGTTACCAAAACTAATTAAGGTTTATATAACCATTTAGTCCCCTTCAAAAACCAAACAAAAACAGGGCCCTTTGCTTATGTCCATAAGGCATACCTATCTTCCTAATATAACAGATGACTTCCTTCAGAGATTCTCCCAGTGGAAACCGCTGGAGAGCTTTACATGTTTGGGACCCGACTCTGTCCATCCCCCTGGGCCTCAGGACTTCGCCAAAGCTCCCCAGCTGATTCTAATGTGCAGCCAAGAGTGAGAACCACTATCCTAAGCAGCCGTTGCCAAAGCGGGGTCCCTGGCCAGCACATTAGCACCGCCTGGAGAACTTGGAAATGCAAATTCCTCACTGAAGGCAGACAGAATCAAAACCTCCAGACGTGGGGTCCAGCAGACCCATTTTAAGAAGCCACCAAGGAGATTATGATGCTCACTAACATTTGAGAACCACCAGGCTGAAACAATTCTCAGGACAAGAACATCATGCTTTTCTTCACCATTGTCTTCCCTTTGCCCCTCCCCCAACACACACCCCCTAAATTTGAGTTTAATCCCCAAAGCATTATTAGGTAATTATTTTTCATTTTTATAAGTAAAGACATATTCTCAATCTAGATTTTTAATCATTTATTCATTTACACCAATAGCATGTATTGAGAGACTACCAAATGCCATCACAGGGTAAATCTGAGCAGTTACAATAATGACTAAGGACTGGGCCTTATCTCAGGGAACCTAGAATGTGTAAAAGGTATGTGAATAAGTAACAACAGTACACTATGAGATGCTTCAGCAGAGGACCCCAAAACACATCGTAACTTATGATCTAAGTAATTTAAGAAAGCTAGAAAAAGAAAGAGAGGGAAGGAGGGAGAGAAAGAAAAAGAAAGGAAGGAAGGAAGGAAGGAAGGAAGGAAGGAAGGAAGGAAGGAAAGAAAGAAAGAAAGAAAGAAAGAAAGAGAGAAAGAAAGAAAGAAAGAGAAAGAAAAGAAAGAAAGAGAAAAGAAAGAAAGAAAGAAAGAGAAAAGAAAGAACGCAATCTAGATTTTTAATCAGTTATTCATTTACACCAATAGCATGTATTGAGAGACTACCAAATGCCATCACAGGGTAAATCTGAGCAGTTACAATAATGACTAAGGACTGGGCCTTATCTCAGGGAACCTAGAATGTGTAAAAGGTATGTGAATAAGTAACAACAGTACACTATGAGATGCTTCAGCAGAGGACCCCAAAACACATCGTAACTTATGATCTAAGTAATTTAAGAAAGCTAGAAAAAGAAAGAGAGGGAAGGAGGGAGAGAAAGAAAAAGAAAGTAAGGAAGGAAGGAAGGAAGGAAGGAAGGAAGGAAAGAAAGAAAGAAAGAAAGAAAGAAAGAAAGAAAGAAAGAAAGAAAGAGAGAAAGAAAGAAAGAAAGAGAAAGAAAGAAAGAAAGAAAAAGTTCCCCAAAGAGAACCTGAGTTTACCCTAACACACTGGCATAATTCCAGCCAAAAGAAATTTTCAAACCTGTGTTCATCAGCCAATGAAATCTTACAGTAGTTAACTACAGTTTCTATCAGGCTTTTTTGAAGTATTGAAAATATCTTAAATTCCCCTTTGCTGCCACTTGTGCCTTTCCCCGGGATGGAAACTGTTGCAGCAGCGTATAATCCACACACCAAAAGCAGCACGAGGCTGTTTACTGACACTAAGCTTCTGCATTGTAGGTTACCGGTGGCCTCTGCCTAGCAAGCTCTGCGCAGTCTGGATTTACCTGGATGTGCTCTTCTCCACGGCCTCCATCATGCACCTCTGCGCCATCTCGCTGGACCGCTATGTTGCTATCCAGAACCCCATTCATCACAGCCGCTTCAATTCCAGGACTAAAGCATTTCTGAAAATAATTGCTGTCTGGACCATATCAGTAGGTAAGTGGTCTGTTTGAAATGACAGTTCATGCCTTTCAAGACTCGTTCTGCTTTGTGGCACTGAAAACTGACATCCTGAATCTATCGTTTTGTTTGTTGCAAGGTATGTTACAACTTAGTAATGATCAGATTTGCTTTAGGAAAGAAAAATCTATTCATATCACTGACTGATAACATAAATTTGTATTGCTTTGCACAAATAAGAAAGTATACACCAATTGTCAAAATCAGGAATAACTGTTCTGTAGCCACCACTGAAAACTTTTTCCCCATCTCACACTTTCACATTCATTACTCGAAATCTTGAGTTTCCCAGAGACCTCAATGTTTATAGTCTCTGGCCTTGTAGTCAGTATAAGAATACAGAGCCCCATACTGGAGAATACGAAATTTCTGACGGTAGAGAAGGTAGCAGGTACTGTGACTTAGAAGGAAAAGATGAGGACAAAGGAAGGTGACAGGACTTGCTAATAGTGTTTTAGCCTGCCCAGGGCCTCTACAACCCTTCCTCCTTTTATGACACCACACACCAGAGGATTTCAACCCACTTCACTGAGGTTGATTACACACATTCACCTGCAGCCAGTATTGATCTTCTGTCATACACCTAACAAAAAGGAAAGCCCAAATAATAGAAGCTAAAGGGGTGGTTCCCAGGCAGCTAAGTCAATTGTACTTGTCACCTCAGAAGGCTTGGTTGGTAACCAAAGATTCTTTGCAATTTGTTTTAAAGTTGCAAAGCTTTGCAGGCAGAAATGCCATGACTGCTAACGGCTGTGCGGATATCAGTATCTACTAACATGGGAGACTATGGGATTGATGGCAGATTTGCATCAAGGACTGGAGTGAGTTTACCCACAGCTTTGTAATAAAAATGCAAATTAATAATAGTAAACATGATACGTTATCTTGTATTTCAGTTCCTATTGTTTGCCTTGCTGCTTAAGATGTAATCTGGATGTAGGTAGCTCCATTCTATAGTGAAGAAATTGGGATTCAAAAAGGGAGATTACCTGTGCAGGGCCCACCTTAGCACAGCAAAGATTTTGTTCAGTTATGATGGAAACACAAGTTGCTTTTCTATGATTTTCAAAATTTTGAAAAGTTTTATCTATTTTCCAGACTGAGAGAGAGAAAAGATCTTGTGCTTATTTGATGGATTAGGGAAGCAGAGCAGAGAGGTTTTGTGGCTTGCTGTGTCACCTCCAACTAGCAACAGGGTTAGGACTTTACACTCTCAGCACCAAGCCCTGGGGAGCTAAATATACAGCTAAATATACTTCCTTCCTTAGGAAATAGTTTTTGCTCTCAAAATATTTTTTTGGTTTCTGGGCCTGTGCAATCTTGAACTCATTCTACTAGGAGCAAGAGAATGAAGGATAGTGGTTCTCAGTCCCAGCTGCACATAAGAAGCCCTGGGGAGCATAGTAGGTCCATAGTAGGTCCGGGTGATTCTTAGATATAGCCAGTGTTCAGGACCACTGAGACAGACTGTCAAAGACGGAGTTTCAATTAGTTTTAGAATTTCCACTTGATTCTTTTTATAGATCCCAGTTCTTTTAAATATTTCCCCATGTTTTCATCTGTTTTCTTAAATATTAGTCGCAGGTATCTGGATATCTGAGTTACCCGGGGATTGCTATTTTCTGGGGTCATTTTCCCTCTTGGTTCTGTCAGTCAGTATGTTTAGTAATTTTTTTTTTAATTGAATACTGAACATTATGTAAAAAAAATGTGGATACTCTGCTGCTGTTCTTTTTCTTCAGAGAGGAGTCTTTCAGCTTTAACAGGCAATTAGAATGGGTCCGCTTATTCCGGTCAGGGACTGAGTTTATTTTAGGCTGTGTTTTGTAAACACTGTTTTTTGTTTTTTGTTTTTTTCAGTTTACCCTTACACCTAGGGTCTATTCTGGAACTTCATGACCTAACATGAAAGCCTGAAGTGTTCTCCATTTTGGAGAGCTCTGAATTCCAATTGTTGTCTCTTCAGCACCGTTAAGACTGCTGCTAACTCTTTAGCTACTCAGCCTCTCAGTCTGTCCCTCTAACGAATTGGTAAATGCCTTGGCGTTTGCTCTTCCTTTTACTCCAGAATCTTAACCCCTGAAATCCTGACTGCTTTTTTAGCTCTAATCCCCTGAGACAAAGTTTTGGGCCTTGAATTCCACTTTATTTGATATAATATTACCATATCTGCTCATGGTTGGAAACTCTCCAGTATATATTTTCTAATCTCTTCATTTTTTTATGTCTTTGTTCCTTTGTTTTATGTACATTTTCACAAATAACTTACAGGTGGATTTTTTTTAAAAAAACAAAATCTGACAGTCTCTGACTCTTGATAATGAAATTTAGCTTTTCTACATTACTGTGACAAAGAACATTATCTGTTTTATTCCTTTTATTTTATTTTACATTTATCATAGATTTTTCTTTGTAATAGCTCATCTTTTTCCCCCCCATCTCATGTGTCCCACTTGCACAGTGTCTTCTTCATCCCTTTAGCTCCATTTCACTTAATTTGCATTTCTACTTGGCTTTTCCATTCCTTTCACGGTTACAGTCTCATCCCAAATAGTCATCATTACACTGATTTCCAGTATTATATATAAAATAAATAATAATCTCACTAAATTGTTTTATTTCCTCATTCACCACTCGTCCCAATTCACAGGTTTTAGATTTTTCCATAATTTTAAAATAATCTAGTGGTGTAATAGATCTTTTCAAGTCAAAAAATGCAGACATCATAAAGAAACATATAGACGCAGCTGACTACATGAGAAATTGTAAGTTTTATATAGCTAAAATCAATATAAGCAAAGTCAAAAGAAAAATATTTCAGTATATATGAATAACAGACCTTAACATACAAAGAACACCTATATTTTGATTTTAAAAAAAAAAGACAAACAATTTAATAGGAAAATAAACTATATGAACAGACCATTTACAGAAACATAACTTGAAATGGACAGTAAAGCTCATGAAAAAACATTTAGCCTCTTTAACAGTCATGGAAATGTAATCTAAAACAATAATGCAACACCATTTTTTACCCATGTAATTAGCAAAATTAAAATGAATGAAAACACCCAGTGTGCTTTGGGATATTGTGCCCTATGGTGTGTACTCTCAAAACCTGTTTGTATGAATATGAATTTTTTGTTCTTGAACAATCTAGTAAAACTTATTAAAATTTGACGTACCAGTCTCACTTGAGAGAATCTGTTCTACAGAAAAATAAAAGTACATGTAAGAATCTTTAATACAACAATTTTGGGGAATATCATAAAATTGGAAAAGTTGATTTATGGTTGGATATATTGTTTTTATCTAAATTATGGAATATTTTGCAGCTGTTGAAAATATTGAGTTGGGGTTATTTGATATTCAACTGGAAGAATATCCATACTGTTAAGTGCAAAAATCAAGTTTCGGGGTGGTATGCATGGTCTGAGCCCATTCTGGTAAAATAATAATACTAATAATATACGAAGATAAATATGTATTAGCACTGAGAAACTGTGGAAAGACGTCACACTTGTCAGGAAGGTAAAATTAGAAAGAATGGCATGATTGTTATATTTTCCCTTATATACCTCTGTATAGTTTTGTCACAAATATGATGATAATGATAGTGTTTTGGATGATCAAGAGTGAAACAGTTACACCTGCATCGTGAGAGAGAAGGCTTCATGCAGGAGATGGCTGACCTTCAAAATTTGCTAGGATCTAATGCATGGCAATTTTAGTAACCAACATCGCAGATTACTTAAATTTCCTTGCACCAGTTATTTCTGAGATTGGCTGCTTCTTCCCCGCTGCTTACTGCCACTAGTTTGGTCACTTTACTTTTGCCAAGGCTTCCATCTAGTTCTGAGGAAAATGAATATACTTATAAATCAATTGCATTTTCTATTTGTGAGCTTCTTTGAGTAAAGCAGTGATGACAGAAAAGACTGAAGCATTAGATTAAGAATGATCTTAAGATTCATTTTCCCTTTGTAAATCCAATTCCCATGATCAGAGGTAATCATAACTTTACTACAATATGTAAAATGAGCAAACCCTTACTCGTGGTGATTGCCTTGCTGATGTCGTATAAGAAAATAGATGCTACCTATTCTTCAAACATCTTTAGCAAGTAAAGGCATAGATCAGATTTTTTTTTAAGTGAAAATTACTATTTTCACATTGTCATTTTTTAACAGGCAAGCAAAGGCATCAATTTAAATTTTCTTATACTTATTTCATTTCAGAAATATATTTGCAGCTCACGGAGTAATTTAGAAGTATCATGAGTCTAAATAGAATGATTTTTTCTCCTCAAGGCTAATCATGACCACATGTTTTCTGAACTGTTACTTTTAAAATAGTAAAAAAAGCAAGCTGTGTCACATTTATTCGGGGCCTATACCTCCCAAATTGTGACAATTGTGCATAAATCCTAAACTGAATGTTTAGGTCATTGGGTCCAAGATCTGGCCTTCGAGCAAGTTAAAAACTCACCTTCCTACCAAGACAGGGTAAATTTATAAAGAAGCTTTGAGGGACAATGAAAATGATGTATCTCACTATAGTTTTAGTTAGTAGTTTTTTATTTTTATTATTATTATAAGGTCATTTCAATATTAAGTAAATAAATATAGTGTTTGTGTCAACATTATTTG